AATTCTTGGAGCCGAGCTCCAGAACTAGATATGAAGGATAATGATTCTCTAATATTTGTAAGATTAGCAGAGATATGTTCAATTCCTGCCTGAATTACTAAATTAATTATGTGACATGCACACCGTTGATGAAAAATTTCCCCTCCAAATGCCGGTTTCAAACTACGTTTAAACAGATTAATTGCAGTTGTATTAGCTGACACATTATCAAAAGTAATTATTAAAATTTTATCTTCTATCCCATAAAACCCAAAAATTTCTATTATTGTACTGAAAATAGCTGTTGCATTATGAGGATATGGACATAAACGAAAACCAATTATTCTTTTTTGTAAAACCCAATCATCATCAACGTAGTGCGCTGTGACACATAAATATCCAGTTTTATTACACCCCTCCCACAGATTAGAAGTGCAAGACACAGTAGCATTAAAAGTCCTAAAATTATCAACAAGAGATTGTCTCATTGCATAAAAAACTTTCATGCAATCAGAACGAGTTGTGTTTCTACTTACCCGTTTAAATTGTGGGCAAAAGGCTGTCTGGATGAATTCTTCGAAGGAGGCATCATCTGCAAAAGAAAGAGGCAATTCGGCACTAGCTAGAAATTTAGCTAGTGCCTCACGAGCACGTTGTGCATCGTATGTACAATTTTGTAACCCATGTGATGTGAGTGATAGTGTTTGTTGGTGGGAGTCCACACTCCCACCTTGGTGCAACGGTAGACATATTTTCTAATGTCTATCCAGATGACCAGTATCCCACCCTTTTTATTAAAAAAGTGCTTTTTACAATATTTACATACCGCACGAATTTCCATCTCACCTGTTTTTGGATTTGGTTGGGGCTCCTCGGTGAAATGCTGCCATGCCGGTGAAGTTCGTGGTCTTTTTCCTCTGCTGCGTTCTCTAGCTTCTTCGTTGTATACTGAAGCATTATCCACTAGAGCATTTTCTGGTTCAGTGGGTGTGGGGTTGGAAGACATCATTTCTTCCTCAAAAAATGTCTCCTCACCAAGCTCTGGAAGAGCAGTGAAATCAGGGAAATTTGGTGAGGCCATTTTCTGGAAATTGATAGAACTTGATTGAACTTTGTAAATGAAAGAGCTAGAAAATGAATGAACACGAGAAAAAAGCTTAGAATCAAAATTAAAGAGACAAGTTGAGAGATAGAATGAGAGTGAGATGAGAAGATGATAGTGAATTGCTGTATGAGATTTATGGTGGAATTAAGGGGTATTTATAGGGGATTTTTGGGTTAAAATTCAGTTTTTTTCTGTTGGGCCCTTCGCCGGGAGGCCCGTCACGTGCCAAACGTTGGGCCCGCGAAGGGCCCACTGGAGCAAATGAAATGGGCTTTTCGTGGGCCGTTTCGCGGGCTTGGGCCGGGCCGAATAAGGGTCGTGCCTCGGGCCTCCACGTGCTTGGGCCGCGGGCTGAGAAGTTGAGGCCCAGCCCTAGTCCATTACGTGCTTGGGCCGTGCTTGGGCCGCGGGCTGAGAAGTTGAGGCCCAGCCCTAGTTCATTACACGTGCCGTGCCGGCACGGCCCGTAACAGTAACGAACCGGGCCGTGCCGAATCAGGCACTATTACGGGCTGGGTCGGGCCGTCCATGGACGGACTGGGTTGGGCCGTCCATGGACGGCCCGGCCCATTTGACACCTCTAGGAGGGCGGGCCACATGAAAACCCCATATGCATGGAAAAGCTGTCTTGGAATTTTTTAGCACTGAAATGCTCCATGTGTTTCCTCCTAGTTTACGGGCCATATGGAACTTTTTTTTTTCTCTGATTTTTATAAAATACCTAATTTAGGTTCTTTTAATTAAAAAACAAAACACTTTTGCTATGTTTTAAGAGAGAACTTGGCATGAAAGTTTGGAAGAGCACTAAACTAAGGAAAATCATGTCATGAGTTGGGCCAAGCAACAATGGGGAGTGATGAGTGCGTAATTTATGCACTCATTCGTTACTCCTTTAGCTAGTATTGGCGTATTTTTTCTCAAGTTGTTATGTGGATTTGATGACTTTCCCTTGAGTGTGTAGGAAAGGGTGAAATCGCTGAGTTTTGAGGCATTTTGGATCAAAAAGACAGAGAATGAGGCGATATGGCGCCTTCAGATGGCGATGCGACTCGAAAAGGAGCAAAATCGAGCAAACCTGTGCGAAGGACCAGAGAGGGATGCGATATGTCACCTCCTTTATGGAGATATGTCGCCTCCTTTAGGCGATATGTCGCCTATTCTAGGGGATATGTTGCCTGATTTACCCGATTTTATTAGAAACACGCGTTTTGCCCTAGTTTGGTGCAGGGACTTTTATGGAAAGTGAGAATTAGCTTCTTGGGGATGTGTTGGATGTGGAATAGAAGGAGGAGAGGCCGAAAACTGAAGGAGAGAAAAGAGAAAAAGGGTTTGCAAAAGAAGAAAAACTGAATCAGAAAGGATTCGAGGGAAAGTCCAGCGATTCTTCAAGAATTCCAAGCGTTCTTCATTCTCTTCTTATCTTTCTTCTTATATTTTTCTGAATTTTGAATATTATTTTGAGACTGTGAGCCACATGATGTGTGGCTAATTTTCTTATTTGTTAGGGTTTAGGTGAATCTCTATTTGTGATTATTGTTTCGACGTTTTAATGTGCCATTAATTAAGCTCTTCATTTCTTTCGTGTTCTATTTTGAATTATTGCTGCTAAATCTATGATTTATATATTGCCATGCTTTATGAGATTTTGAATTGGGCAGATTTTT